ATCGTTTTCGTTTTACGTGTTCGACGAGCATATTGAAAGTTATCGTTCTCCGCGAATCTTCTCGGACCTCGTTCGAGCCAGCTGCCACGTTTGCCAAATGTTGGAACAGGGTAACGTTTCAACGTGTGACTCGCACCTGCCCAACTTGCCTGCACATGAAAACAGAGTTCTTTTGTTATGAAATTGAAGAAAAAGTTTATTTACTAAAAATTACATTTAATCGATAATAGTATGTGCCGTTCTGTTCGATGGCTTTTCTCCATCCTTCCGGTAGCTGCATAATCCCGCGCTCATAGAAGTTCCGAGGTTCTTGGCTAAAGAACTGATCGAATGGGACGTACTTTTGCATCAACCTAATACAAAAATTTTCATCGGTACTATTTTTGACACGCGTCGAACGTTACGTAATGCTCTAATAACTTCCCAAGATCCAAGAAACTGCATCCCTCGTCTCGCCCTTCTCTAATCCTCCGAAAGAGCAATAACGATGACTGATATCGTAATTTTCTGGAATGGAACGGAATTTTCGGCCATTATTCCTCCCTCTTTCGCAGCAACTATATTTCCCGTTTCATCCCACCCGGAAGTTTAAAAAGCTACCGGGCACCGTTTCAAACAAGTTTTTTTCACGAACAAAACGATCCCTTTTGCTTTGCACTTTTTCCCTTGGTTTTTCGTTGACTCTGACGTCCATCGGTGCTCCAATTACAAAGCACCGAAAGTAATTTACTTTCCGCCGAGTTTGCTATAGGAATTTTTCGATCTTTTTTTGGAGGGTTGGGTGGGGGACGCGGGGGTCGCGGAGAGTTGTTGCGTTCACTTGAATAATTCGTTTCGCCGACGTTTTGCCGACGAAAGTTTCTTCACTCGACGCAATTAATCGATTATTCGTTTAAGTGACTTTTTCGTTTGCTCGAATATTCGGTATTTTCAAAGCTGTTTTCGTAATCTTTCCCGTCGCCGTGAAGTTGATTTAAGTGCTTCCGGCAAAGTTTTCCGCCGGACTAATGCAGCCGAACGAGAGACCCGCGGGGGAAGGAAGCGTTTATTATCTCCGACGAGATTGTAATCCCGAATTTCCTGGAAAAATATCAAGATACCACCTTGCCATTTCCGCAACATCAATGCGCGCGCGTTCTTTTCGACGCCGCCTAACGGAACATAAGGCTGGTGTCGAGGTTGGAACGACATAGTATTCGGGATCGAAATTACCGAAGCCGTATTTTCGTATTTCCTCGGGACATCTCTGCGGAAAAATCTCGTCTCTGGAATTCCCATGGACTCGTTCTAATACCGGCTAAGAGGAAGTACCATTGGCTTCGCGATCGAACGGAATTTCACGGAACTTCGATCTGCGAAAATTCGCCGGCCATGACAACGGCTTAACGCCATCTACGGTCACTGAACATACCACGCTACCACCTTTATCACCTTTACCACCTTCACCACCATCTGTCAGTCTAATATATTTCCTCGTGTCAGGCGGTACAACAACGACCGCCGCTGCGTTATCGGCGTGCATCCGGCGATGAATCGCACCAGCTCACGACGAACCCCTTTCTCCAGGGTAAATCGAAGACCAAGAATTAAATTATCGAGGTAATTGATCGAGAGCTCCAGCTCCAACGGAAAGGGCTAAATTTTATTGGCCCTTCTTGCACCTCCTTACGATGAGTGGGCTGATCGATTGCCGCTCTGGGTGTACTCGAGAAGTCTAGAAGAAAGGCCACCGCCCCCGTTATCGAGCAAACTTCTCCAAGACACGAATGAATATTTGAGGCAAGAATTATTTAACTTCCAGGGCAGGGACAGAGGGAGTAGGAATTTCGACGAGAAGGGGTGAACGGTCGCATTGTTCGGCTGTGATCGAAATCCCAGGTGACTGCGAACTTTCGACTGGCTCGGTTAACCCTGTACGGTTTCCAACGGGTATACAGTGTGTCCCAAAATAGCTCAGTTCCAAAAGTCGAAGCTATTTTGGGACACCCTGTATATGCACTTCTGTGACAGCACCTGAGCACAATTACTGTCGGACATTGCCCTCATTCCCGATGCTTCTCTGACGCAAGCCCGTATCCCAAGGGTTGGATACGAGCGTGCGTGCGTCCATGCGTGCTTTACGCTTAGTAACGGGCCTCTACGCTTCGTGTACAGGGCCGCGTATCAGAAGTCCTTTCGCTGCTGAAATAGAGGGTCGCGCAAGAAATATCCTGACTCGGCATTGTCAGCGAACAATTGAGCGGGAAATTCTAGGAGCCAGAACATACGGCTGCGGGGCTCGTAAACCCGCACCGAATTTCGCGCGATACACGTGACTACTGGGGATAGTTTCAACGGGAATTATGGAGTTGTCGCAAGGGCCCGACTAAGGAACGACTTTGTTTACTCACTTTCGAACACCCGCCGGTGCACCGTGTATCGCGATCGGACAGTTCATACTTGCTTGCCGTAACAATATACCGTTCTAATGAAATGTGTGCGCAACGGGAGCGTTGGAAATAGGAACGGAGACCAATGCAGTTCCCACCGATTGGCACGAGTCTCGTGAGTTCCATACCTATTTAATACTCTCTAACCTATATATGTATAAATATACGTGTAGAAGAAGTCGTACGCGTGGAATACGAGAATGTATGGATCAATGGAAAATTCTGACAGACTGCTCTCTCTGGTAATGGATTGGAAGGGGCGTTTCATAGACATTTTTGGCAGACGTTCAATGTAACTACCTTCGAGATTGAAAGACTCATAATTAATAAATGACCCTGACAGACTTTGGACTACCGATACGATCGTTAAAATACTGTCGATGTGTCGAGTTCGAGATCTATTATCACAACTCAATATACGATATTTACTCGCCGCTCGAGTCCAAACGTTTGCGTACTTACTAAACACAATTAAAGAGCCGTTCCGCAATCGATATCGTAGAAGAGCACTTGTCCGTCCTTCGTTACGCAAGGGTAAACAGTACATTTAAGGTTAGAATTAAGCGCTTCGCGGGCTAACCAAACGGTTCGTGTTTCCTCGCGCTCGAACGTATCTGGAGTACTCCACACCGTATCTCTCTCTGGCCGATTGTACTCGATAAATCGAGTGGCAAGCCGTTTGCCGCCGGTGGTACGATATTTCTCGGCGATCGGCCTGTAAATATGAAAATCAATCGTTCCACGAAGAAAGCGTTTAGTAAATATACGTACACGGTTGTTCGCGATGGCGGACAAACTGGAGGGTGGTCGGTCGGCCATTCTGCCTCACGAGTCATTTTTCATAAATAACGATACCTGACACTTGGGTCGTGGAAAATACCCGATCACAACCACGATGCCAATTTATCAACGTGCGCCAAACGAAAACGCAACATCAACGGGTGACTCACTCGGTGACTCATGCATAATTTATTCCGACACAACTGGCGGAAGGGGTACGGGCTTGCGTGCAGAAAAAGCACCGGTTTGCATAAATACCATGCAGCTGCGTTATGGAAATCGTACCTGAAATTGTAAACGGTATCGATCTGCCGCTCGAAATCGGCGAACACCACGCGTGTAAATCGCGAATATGAATTGGCGTATAAAGGGCAGCGGTTGCGGTCGCGTGTTGCTTATATATGTGTGCGTTACGCTTCATTTAACGTTATAGCTAGGAATATTACCACGGGATACCACGAGGACCGATTTCATGTATTCGGAGTGGTTTTCGCGGGAAATTCGTACGGGCAAATTAACGTCGAGAAAAATTATCGATGGAGGAACCAACGGATAACTTAATGCTCCTAACTCCACTATGTATTATTATATCTTGTATAGCGAATAAATCATATGATTTCAAAGCTTTCGATACGAAAAAGAAAAATTGAATTTCTCCTCCATTTGGATTATACACACGGATACGGTCAATAGTGTTGCCCGTGTATACGGCCGAAAGGCAGCACAAATCATGGTAGCCGAAAATCTGTAGAGAACCTCATAAAAGGGTGCACTCGGGAGTTGGAGGAAATCTCGTGGATATGAGGAATTTACGTGGCGACTCCGAAGATACGGAGGAACGGGAGGCCGCGAAAGCCACTGCAGTTTCGTAGCTGCCCTCTCGAATCTCCAGGAGACATTCAATACAGTCGGTTTGCTGCGACGAAAGTGCGCGGTCGCGGTGGATCATTGCGGTTCTTATTAAGTTTCACTCGCGCTGTTTGTCCCAGAACAAAGTCGTATCGCAACGGGTTCGAACAGATAAAACCAGCCGAGTTCGACTCGCTTTCGAACGGCAGCCTCGTTTTCCTTCTCCTTCGCGTTCGTTCGTCGAAAGAGCTCGACTTTCGAAGCGATCAAAAAGCGTCTCGACCAAGCTACTATTCTCGATTATACACAATTGTATTCATACGTCTACGCTTTGCGTTTATGTATATCTACTTTCGTATACTTGTCCCGTGATCTCGTTGCACGATAGAACGTCGACGTGATTTCCGATATTCGGAAAATATTAAGCTGAATATAACACAGACGCGTCGAGCGTGTTCCTTTGCGCGGCGTGTTTGCTACACTCAAATAAACTTCTTTCCCAGACTAACGTGCTTGCAACCCTCCACGCCAAATCGTCACGCGACAGCGACCTGTCTCCGTCAGTCGTGAGTAATCGACGTTGCACCACTCGCACACACTTAATACATACCCTACACGTACCCTCGCGAGCAAACTCGGCTTCCGCTGGGGGAAGGAACTGCGTAGAGTGAAGAAGAACGGACTCCTACCACTTGGTAAATTTATTTCAGGTGCCTAAACAAATATCAAATATAAATTTCAGTAATTTCTAATACCAACTGGTAGGAACACATGGTAGATGGCCATTTCCCTACGCCATTTTTGTCCCTAGCGGAAGCCGAGTTTGCACGTCAGTATATACGTATATATTCGCTTCGTAGAACGTAACCGTCGACCGACGCGATCGATTCTTTAAACGCGAAACGTGCCGAAACTAAAGGATGCCCGAATTTCTGGTTGCAGCTTCGACGAAACGTCGATGGACAGCTGTCCATTAGCCGTCACCGAGGGAAGAGCGAACGATTTGTTCAAGGATACCGTCGAGGTGGAGGTGACGTCCCTGGAGGAGGCGAAATCGGTGATAGCGACCCTTCGAGCGAGGCAAAGGGCACAGGCGCATCAGATGCTCGCCTGGCGGAGGACCCTGAAATTGCAGGTAAATATCTCTTCGTTGTTACGACAGACGAGGATAGAGGGTAGAGAAGACGTACCCGTAATTACCGACCGACTGCTTCTACTTTGGGAACCTCGTCTGCTCGTTGATTAGAGCCATTATCAGGTAAAACTTTAAAGAGGCTACGTCGTCGCCGCCTGTACGCTTCCGGGACAGGGCAGACCTCTCGTGACGTTCGACTGTTTCGCTTCTGGGTTCGCGTGACTAGAGGCGATCTACAATTTCACGGGGTACAGTCGCGAAAAATACGCCTCCCTCGAAACTCAGTCGATCTTTTTTATTCACGACCTCTAAAACGGGCGATCGTGTCGGACCATGCATTTGTTACAGAAGATTCGGAATCGACAATCGTGAAGAAAAACATTTTTTTCCAAATACAGTAATGTTTATACTCATAAATTTGTTTTTTCCCCGAAGTCAAGCCTCTGCTTAGCTTCTGTTTACTCTATTTTGATTAGTTCCACGGGGGGACGCCGTCTGTGGTGGGGATAACGCCGTTGCTCCTGTCGCATTCATCGAGGAATCACTGTAGAGCGAAACATTTCACAGGAGGAACATTTCGATCCGGTTTTTCCTCGAAAATTCAGCTATCATCTTGTCCTGCGATAAAACGTCGCGTCGTTCCGTGTTTATTACTGGTCCTCTAGTAACAAATCGTCCGCGAGTGTTACGATTTTTTGCCGCGAACCGCAGGTTATCCTCGCCCACTAAGCGAACTCAAACGGGTAGATATTCTTGCGTCGCATCGTCGTGACTCGTTTCATTTGCATTTCGACGGGTACCCACCATTTTCTGCCAGGCAAATCACTGCCACCGCCGCTTGCCGGCTTATCGGCGGGCCCCAAATTGTTTCTCCCGCGTGCATTTCTAGTCTGAATTTTCAGGCTTCTCCGTTTCCGCTCGCTTGGCTTCCCCTTTATGTTCGCTCGATCGATGCTCCGCTTCGTATACACTGCCGTGAGCATCGGTGATTAAACGCGGGGGGAATAATAAATAGCCGCGAATGCGCGTCAAAGCCTGAATTAAAACGAAGACAATGCACTCGGGAATGAGGAGACAGAGTCCAATTGCATTCGAACGAACGATGAAACCCGTCGGTTTTAACCTTTGTGTGGGCAACCAAAATATTCACGGTTATTAAATATACTATATTATAATAATTTTACTTTCATACTTTTCCGAAGCTCTTAGTTCTCCCTTCCTATAATATACCAAGTGCCGTTTTAGACAAGAACATAACAAATTGCGAAAAGAAATTTAGAAATGGGTACCCGGTTGTCTACACAAGGGTTAAACTACGTGCGCGCCCCGTGTGAATGGCAACGAGCACCGAACTTCATATTCGGTTGCCTGTAATTAATTTACTGATTTTTGAAATTTCGAGCGATAGAGCCGCACGGGGAGGCAAATACGCCGCGATAAACCTCCGGATTTGTCGACCCAGGAGATGATTCTAAGGCCTGCTTTCAGTGAAAAATTGTGTTGCATCACGCCGTGTCGCGTCCTCGAAAAATTCAGAAGCGTCCCATGATGGTTTTTTGCGTGAGTTGGTTCGCCGCAGGAACGTGACTTGTTCGCTGCTGCTGAGATTTCTAATAATATCTCTGAATTCTTCATTCTTTCCGCGGGAGTCTACGAGTTTACTACTGTTGCAAAGTTTCCGACCGTTCTGCTTGCATCTGCGGCGAAGAGTATGGACTACTTTGGGATTGCTTCTTCCACGAAGTCTCGTGGCCTCCCACGGTTTACCGTGCCTGGTATTTATATTCACGGCTAGTTTATTACGTTCACCGAACGCAGTTCTGTTAATTAAATCTCTAAAGTCAACGTTTTGAGATTTCCAGCACGAAACGTATCGAAGGAAAGATCTTGGTAGTTACACGTTCTTCAATCCTCCTCCATAAATCCTTCCGAACGCTAATCAACGTCTTTTCGTACGAACGTGACGAACCTTAACAATTGGTATGAAGTTTAGTTATTCGAGGTGGTGGGGGAATAGGGCATAGACGCATGACGTTGTTACACATCTTAAACGAGACCTGTTTCGCCGCGAGTAGATGATAATGTGCACGATAACCGACACCAGGCACGCGACTGTCAGGTGCACAGTATTCTCGAGAGACTGCCTCGTTCCAATAAGCAGCAAAATTAGCGTTTAATTACAACATAATGACCTGTTATTAGATGCAACTGGCTTTTCGCGTGAGGAACACGGAAACCAAGGCTTAACAGGAAGTTTCGCGACCTGCCGGGTGGTATTCATCTGCTCTATGCCTTCTTCGTACACGACACGACGCAAGGGGTTGAATAAACACGAAGGAAAGTCGATGCGATCGATGTTTAGCCGATTGGGTAGCAGTCGATTCGCATGATGGAATATTTAATAACATTCGAGCATTTCCAGTTTGTTACCGATGATCTTGAGCAGTGAATTATTTAATTTAATTTAATTTATTACCATTAACGGGAGGACCAATTTTATACAAAAGTTTAACAAGAAAAAAGCATCTTACAACACTATTTGTAGTAGTTTAAATATACATGTTACTCTCGCAATATCCGGTAGATGGAAGTTTCGACTTTATCTATTGTTTCTGAGTAAAATTCAATTTGGTTATTAAATTTGTTTATTAAAGTAGAGTAGAATAGATTGGAATGTCTGGCTGCATGAGAGGGTATGTGAAAATTTAAATTATTATTATTGTACATTAACCTTTAGAGGACAGACAGATTTTTCCATGACTTCTTCTATTTTCCAGTTACGAGTTTTGTATATTTCCCATAGTGTTATGCTACGAATAATAAGCGACACCTCTGGAGTCTAAAAATAAGCTTTCCGTTTTCTAAAGGTTAACTCTTTCCCCGGAACCGCAAGCTGGAAATGCCACCACTGTGCGAACACCGTGATAGCGAAAAATGCTTTCCTGCACCTCGTGAGCTCAGACAATTATTGTACGCGAGCCGAATGAAAGGAAACGAAAAACTCGAGAGTTCCGTTGTCCTGTTGAAGCCGAACGGGTTGTTCCGTGTTTCTCTGTCTACGAGTCACGCATAAGAAACGCAACGGCTCGGCGCTTGCGATGTGAAAGAATGCGCAATCCTCGTCGCGTGTCCATTTTACGGGGCTGCGATTTACGCGAAACAATACTAACAGTAATGGACTCGTCCTGCTTTTGCCGGAAAGAAGCAAGCAAGGACGGAACGAACGAAAACATAAAATTGATCGATCGTTGTGCAGTCCATGCAAAACAGATTGCATGCGTCTCGTGAATGCACTGTTCGGTGCATGACGATGCAACTCTAGGCAGCACCACCGTTCCATCCGCATCTGTATACATACTGTTCCTTGTTGTCTATTTCTGGCGTGTTTTTGGGTTTGAATGACTCAGGGATTTCGCTAATGTTTCTTTAATGCCCGATAGGTACATATACAGGATGAACCACGAATCGAGAGCTTTAAAGCGATTATAGCAAATTTCTTGTCAACTCTTTTTTTTTATTTTTGTGACAAGAAATTTGCTATAATCACGTTCCAGCTCTCTTGAAACCATACTATACCTGATAAAAACATTTTCGATCGGACTGCTAATAACAGAGTAATCTCTACTGATCACGATTCGTGGTTCACCCTGTAAACTTCGCGAAGCGGACCGACACGACTGGCGCTTGCTCGGCCTCGAGGAATGCTCGCGGAACGAAATTGAGCTTCGGGCAAGTTCTGTTTGCGTTCTCCGCGTGTTCGAATTCGACTACCACGAGAACCTGTCGAAGCGTTTGTCGAGCGTCTGGCGAGCACAGTAGAATTACTTGCAACATAATCCACCTTCTGAAGCCAAAACTAATGCCGACAGCGACAAGCTGGCAGCCCCGCTGACATCCAACTCTGCTCAAACTGTTGCGAACCTGAGACGAATGTTGGGCTTTCATAATGCAAGACAAATCCGGCGACATTCGGCCGCTACCTAGATAGAAAAATTTCCCACCGAATATCCATATAATTTTATACCCGTGCACAGGTTCATTATCCCATTGACGTCGATGACGTTTGCTTCATTTTACCGTGTTTCGAATCCATTTCGCTCGATTCTAAGTAATGCGGTTCGTGTCGACCCTCGGTGCTTCCTAATTAGCTTGAAATTACGGCCAGATCGAGGATACATTACAGTTAAGTCCAGAGAACCGTCCATCAAACGCGTCCACTTTGCTGTTTGTCCCCTGTTCATCGAATAGCATCTTTGCAACTAATCACCTCGAACAACGGCGCGACGTACACGTATGTTTCGCGACAACGAGAACTGTCCAAGTTTCGAATCTGCAATTCCATTTTCTCGTTCGTAAACGTTCTTTCACTGGCTGGGTTATATATCCCACCGTTACCCGCAATCGTTCAACGCGAGTTGCCTCTGTCGGCCGACGAAAAACCGTCCGCAAGAAATCCTCCAACAATTTCCATTCACCGGTTATCGATAACGAGCCACGGTGATTAATCGTTGCCATGTGACTCTCCCCGGCGAAGGGAAAAAAACTTTTCCTGGCGAATACATGTACGATACATTATTAATTGTTCAAACATCGACGAAGCCTCCTGCGTAACTTTAACAGCACCCAAGTCTGCATTCATTAATAATTAAACAAATTTACCGAATTCACCGGTTAACGACGGGTTCCAGGAGGATCTGGTAGCTCGATTGTCGAGGGAAAAAGCCGAGCAACTCCGGACATTATCCTCGCAGTTGCTCCTGTTCGAGTCGAGGCTCTGTCGGAAGCAAAAGGAGATCGAGGCCAGCCTGTCGCAACGAGAATCTATTATTCTTAGACAACAGAGGGTGATTCGACAATTGCAGAGCAGATTGGCGGAAAGAAGCACCGGCTTAAGGGACTCGCCGCCTTGCGACGCTCTCGATAGATTGGACAGCCTCGGGGATAGCGACAGTGCCGTTGTTCTAGAGGAGGCCGCCGATGACCTAGCGCCACCGAGGTACGTATGTATCTGTTTACTTCATTGCTCCCTTCCTTGCTCCGAGTCTTTCGAGTGCCTGTCCATTGGCGTAACTAGAATTGCCACGAGATTCTACGTACCCATTGCCTCGTATTAAAGTAGCATTTCCATGAAAAAACCACCTCCAGAGCCCCGCACCGCTACTTTAACGCGAGTCTACTGCATTTACACACCGAACGTTCCGAATTCGTTTCTCGTAACCCGTAACTGCGCGAAACGATCGAATTCCCATGCACTTTAAGGCTTATACGCGTTTAACGATTCCTTTGGTATTCTACGATCACCCGAAACGTCCGTCGCGAATATCAAGTGGATCGAACCGTCGCGTCGTCGTCTCGCCTAAAATTCCATAGATCAGTCCTTGGTACTTTCGCATCAAATTCGATCCAATACCCAAGTTACCGTCGAACTGGAAATGTAATTACACGAGTTGGTTGGGAGTCCTGTCGCCCAGTCGATTGGACATTTATTTGTAGTCTGTGAAAAATACGCGCAGTCCTGTGGTCGTAGAGCTATTGATCGAGAGTTAAAGTATTGTATTATGTATATACTTCGTGGTTTGGACATTGGGATACCGGAATCGTTAGAAACTTGGTTGGCTGGCAGCCATTTAAAGTCGAAAAGAAACCTCAAAGTTGCAAAGTTTAATTGAAATTACGGTTAGTTACTAGAATTATATTAAATTATGCATTAAAGCGAAATAATACAGTAATTTCCTGAACGATCACGCTGTATAGTTTGCACCGATTATAGATACCCGTAGGCTTGAAATTGAAACCGTGAACGAAACACCCAAAGTGTCTTGAAAAATATGTTCGTGGAACGCCTCTGAGCCATTTGGTGATTCACTTTCAGGTTTCGTTCGAACATCACCGACGTGACGGTGATACGATCGGTATCGGACGCGGTCGAACCCTCGAGCAAATATTCGTCGATGCGACGGTGCAACGGATTCCTGCGGAGACCGGAAATCCTGGAAACCGTTTACTCGGTGGAGGAGGACGGCGACAGCGAGAACAATCAGGACCCGTCCGAGTCGACCGAGAACTCCGAGTGCGAGGACAGACGGGCGAAAAACTTGGGAAATGGAAAAGGAAGGCTTCAGGATCTTTACGGTAGCTTCGAGAGACTCGCTCAAGAAGCCGATTCTCCGCCGAGCGAGAGACCGAGGGACGAGAGTCAACAAGCGCAGGTTAGTTAAGGTTAACCCGTCTTAATGGAACCGCTACGCGCTGATCCTGCAATCGTTCTACTATATAATATAATATCAATTGGTTATTGATCTTTCAGGTTACGTACAATAGGGTAATGAGTAATCACAGATCCGTCACGAAGCCAAAAGACGTCAAGTACAAGAGGATAAACAAGGCAAAGTCAAAGAGCCTGGAAGAGCTGAGAGGACGGTTGAGAAATTGGGTCGAAAAAGGGAACAAAATTGCTATATCGTTGGATCAGTCTTACGCCTGAGAAACGTACCTCCTGAAAGTACATATATTCTATATCGTAGAAGCAATCCTGATCGGCGATCACGATCGATCGTCATCGGTATTAAAGTCCTCTCGGCCGTGCGATAGGCGCCGCGCTCGCCCGCCTGCGATTTAGGAGGATCGAATCGTAATCCCGACGCGGAAAGAACAAAACCGTCGTGATGATATATTTAACTGAAATTCTCATCGCTCCATGTGATATTTACTGTAGTGTCTCGAGAATGAAACTAGGAACGTTGCGCGTGGACAATTTTCAACAGTTGTGATATATGTATATAATGATTTTATTGTAATACGACCAGGTTGTTTTAGGAATAATTATCGTCGCGATCTGAAAAACCGTGTGACGGTTGACAGGCACGAGGGGAGGGGGCAGAGGAACCCCGAGGAAGTCGTTGGACCCGCGGACCGAGACAATCTTCGCGCAATTGCTGCCCTCCTCTTCCCTCTCGTTCGTCGTGTTCCGCGCGAGCGTAACTTTACGTTGCCACAAAACCGCGCCGCCGAATCGGACAATCGACTGTTCTATCGTGTACTTTCCGCGACACCGCAAACACTCGAGTGTTTTCCTTACGGCGAGACGCGGGAATAGAATATGTACAATATTAATCGAGCGAACTTTCTCCTTCTATCGTGTGTATCTCTCTTTTTTTCTCTTTCCCACCTTCCTCTCCTGCCCCCTTCCTCTGACCCTCTCTGTTCTTTTGCTGTTCGGAGAAGGCACCGGCACGCGTCAAGACTGGCCGTTTTCGATCAGATACGCGATTACACGTTTGACATGCACCGTTCTACCTTCAGATGGTTCCCTTTCGTCAATTACGACCATTATTACCCTTGAATCGGTCGATCCACGTAACGCCTGATACCAGAAGTTATACAAGATTTCTTAGGAGGAAAAAGAACGAAGAAGGAAAGTACAGCAGCGCATTATCGTATATGTATCTACATGTGATCGCGTCAAACAGGCCTCAGCTCAATTTTTGTAAACGCTATATGTATACACGAACTGATTACGTACCAGTGATATCGTTGATATTGTATCGCTCTGTCGCGTCAGTCTTTTCTCTGCGCGCGAAACAACATAATGTTTTCGATGCATCAAATGCAAAACGATGTTTTTTCAAACGTGACCTCTCTCCTATAAGGTTCAACGAACACACATCACACCGATATATGCTTCTGGGTATGGAAGAATGTGCCACTTATCACTTTTCTATTAAAATTCCGTTGCGAACTTAAGCTCACCGATACGCTGATTCGTCTAGTCGAGACAACTCGCGTTTTATACCATAGCGATGAAATGGGTACGACTCGAGTGAACGCTGTCGTCGCCGTTCTAATGTTGAATTTTTCTCGGTTCGCGAGAACGAACCATGCGATAATGCTATACAAGAGAAAAAAGAATGATCCGACTCTCGATTAGAGCACCGATTAAAGCGTTTCAATTCGACGAATATATTCTGTTACGAAAGTGTTTCGACTAGGACCATCCTTGAATTACCCGGCTCAAGATAATCGATATGTGATGCATTTACAATATATATCCAATGCAACACGAATTATTTTTCGGCATTTACAAAAAGGAAACTTCTTCCAGTGGAATAATTATAAAACCGTTCCCGAGATACGAGTAGCTCCGTAGCCTGTAATATTTTTCGATCTATCTGTACGTCGTGTCGTTTCGGACACTGTGTAAACGACAAAATGTACCGTACGCGACGTCCAAGTTTTCCGTGTCGTTCCACCGAGGCGAGAAAGTCTTCTTTGCGCGTACCTGTCTTAATTTTAAAACTACAATAGACAGTTTTCGATTTCCGTGTTCCGTTCGAGATCAGTTTCCTCTGTTCTTTGGTTGTCCAAACCGCAATGTGTGCGTTTCTCGAACGGAAAACGGTTCGAGGAAACTATCGACAATCCTCATCTTTTGACTAACAAAAAAAGGCTAATGGAACGAGAACACATGTGACGTATTTAGAAAAAGAAAACAACTGGTAGCTCGCTCTTTTGTAAATAACACGAAAGAAATCATGTGTAATATTTTCATTATTTAATTAAGCCCTCCTCGAGGGTTCTACAAGATTATCATGTAGATAGGTCGCGTTTAGCGAGGATAATAAATTTTAACGATAGAGAATCAAGTTTTATGTTCCTGCAGGCTGCCTAACAGCCATCAAAAGATCTCGTGCATAATATATTTGCGCGCTTATAAATGCATATACGTATAAATAAAGATACATACATATATATATATATATGATGTGCGTGTGTGTGGGTGTGGGTGTAGGTGTGCATATATATATATATCTCGCGCTCGCGCGCAGACACACACACACACACACACACACAAAGATGTGTACTTCAGTCTACTATTGGTAAGAAAACGAGAGGACGAAAACTCGCAAGAAAATAACGCGAATTAGCATGGGTTTCCGGTTGCATTCGGTTCGCAAGTGTGCAAGTACATAGTGTATACACGTGATCAGATGCCACGGACTGGCGTGCAAAAGAAAGTCGATCGTTATTTTAATTTATGTAAAACATAACGTGTATACCGTCGCTTTCATAGAAAATTAGTAGACTGCTACCAATATCAATAATTGCCGCATTATTATTTTAATTATTATTATTAAATCTGAAATAAATTATAATGCCAACTTTCTCCGTCGATTATTCTCCTCTGTACCCTCCTCCACCTCTACTGTTTTTTACAAACACAAATAGTAATGTAATTCATCGTAAAATCATATTGAATACGTTTTTCTGTTTAAAGATCAAGAACTTATGGTCGCAGAGAGCAAATTCACTCAAGATAACAAAATCGCAATCACGGTCGTGAATGAAATTAAATCACGACCGTGATCGTGATTCGGTGATCAGTGTTATATATCACCGTTAGTGATGTTGCACGCCATCTCTAACTGACACCGTTTTGTAATTTGATTATTTGTATGCAATCCGTTAAGAAATAACAATTCTTTCTGAAATTGTCACATGCTTCTATATAGTTGAAACTGTGCGTCGATATGGTAAGAGACACCGTGTGGTGAAAAAGTGGGGTCATACAGCCCCCGGAAGTGGCGCCATGGACCCCGTGTGATGAGATCGTGGGGTCACAGAGCCCCGGGCTAAGGCGCCAGAGACCCCGTGTGTATGAGGAAGTGGGGTCATAGAACCCACGGAGCATACGCAAGAATTATGTAACGTGATTCTATATCGCAACAGTAGTATCTGCAGAAACTGCCATGGTTGCTGGGGTTACTATATAATTTGCTCACGGATCCACGCACAAGTGTCAGTCCGATGTCGATAGTTGCACGAGCAACATTCCACCGAGCTCGAGAGTTGTACGAGCAACAGCGATAAAGGATCACTTTCAAACGTGTACTGACGCAAGCAATTTCATTACCGTTCATTGTCCCGTAATCCACATGTAGTAACAACAATTTATATAATTATCATTACAAGCATATTGTAAAATCATATAGATAAGTAGGATTCAAGTAAAATAAGTAGGGGAAAATACTTAGGGCACTTTTATTGTATCTATACAAATATTATAAATATATTGTAAAATCATGTATGTCAGTAGTACTTAAGGCAATTGTTGTTAAATTTATAGAAATACTATTGTAAATTGTATATTTTCGTACGATTTTTTCAATAAAAAACAGTCAAATCATACATATGCGTTATTCATTAATCCCAGCACTATCTCCACTCCTATTCCTAATGTAACTTAACCAAAAAAGTAATAATAAATGATAACAAAATAATTAATTCTGAAACGTCTGTGGGGTCATATGGCCCCAACGTTTCCGCCATCTTGGATTTTTAAAAAAGCGCGGGAAAAATTGGTATTCATGGGACATACTAGTGGCGCCACCAAAAAAGTGGGTGGCGAAAGTTGGAACTAATTCTAAAACTTTTTAAGTAGCGCCATCTGGTGGCGACTGTGCGAACTATCGAAAAAGTTCTGGATTTAGTTCCAACTTTCGCCACCCACTTTTTTGGTGGCGCCACTAGTATGTCCCATAAATCCCTATTTTTCCCGCGCTTTTTTAAAAATCCAAGATGGCGGAAACTTTGGGGCCATATGACCCCACAGACGTTTCAGAATTAATTATTTTGTTATCATTTATTATTACTTTTTTGGTTAAGTGACATTAGGAATAGGAGTGGAGATAGTGCTGGGATTAATGAATAACGCATATGTATGATTTGACTGTTTTTTATTGAAAAAATCGTACGAAAATATACAATTTACAATAGTATTTCTATAAATTTAACAACAATTGCCTTAAGTACTACTGACATACATGATTTTACAATATATTTATAATATTTGTATAGACTTTATAATATTTGTATAGATACAATAAAAGTGCCCTAAGCTACATATTTTACTTAAATCCTACTTATCTATATGATTTTACAATATGCTTGTACTGATAATTATATAAATTGTTGTTACTAGATGTGGATTACGGGACAATGAACGGTAATGAAATGGCTTGCGTTAGTACACGTTTGAAAGTGATCCTTTATCGCTGTTGCTCGTACAACTCTCGAGCTCGGTGGAATGTTGCTCCTGCAACTGTCGAAATCTGACTGACACTTGTGCGTGCTTCCCTGAGCAAATTATATAGTAACCCCAGCAATCATGGCAGTTTCTGCATATACTACGACAGCCCAAGTTTAAAAGACGTAGGCAGTAGTTAGTATCTGTAGTAACCTGTTGAACTAGACAACTATAATATAATAGGATTGTACAATATTTATGCAGTTATATTTAAGACAATTCGATGAAATGAAGCTTATATTACCTGACGTATGTTTATTGGAATATACATGTATACATATAAATTATAAAGATATCAAAATTTGAAATACAATACGATGCGCTACGTTACAATACGTCTATTCGATTCAATTGCTCCCTTGCGGCTACAATATCATGCTATCCGCGTTCGGCGCAGTGCGCTAATACGGAGGCCAACAAAAGATCATTGTAACACTTAAAAAAGTGTTAAAGTTCCATTTATATCATTGTCCTGTGAAAATGTTCATACTACCAGTAGCATTCATATTCTAATCAAAGAATTTACAGAATAAGGAAAAGGAATCTAAAGTAATTTTCAGTAGTTCCATACATCTTTATC